AAAAGTTGGTTCCTGTTATTATGGCAGTGCCAAAGTGTTCTTAAAAAATCCATCGATAACCAGTTCTGTAGTCTTTTTTGAGGCGGAGGTGGTGTAGTGACAAGTGGCGCGCTTACCACTCGCGCGGTCCTGGGTTCGAATCCCAGGTCGACACCCGCCCAGGCCAACCAAGCCTCCCTCCGGGGACGGTAAATTGGTACCAGATTCGTCTGGGAGGATAAAACACTGACTTGTACATCGGCTGGCCACCGCAAGTCATTGTATAGGCCACATCGCATTCAATAAGCCACTACGATTCTGAATGGAAGTAGAATGCGTGCCGCATCCCACAAAGGGATTGATCAACGGCGAAGACTTTATCCTTTTTTTATTTTATGACTTTCTTCTTACAAGTGTAATCCCAACGCTAGACTGTTGCTGCATTAATAACTCTTCATTCCATTCGAAACATAAAATTCGATAAAATTTATTACAGCGAGACCAAGTCCTTTTATATAACATTTATATCACTAAAAAAAGATGATCAAAACCAGTGCAAAATAGTGAAAACTTACGCTGCTAAATACTTGATGAGGTTTCTAGACGAGCAGGGAGCACGGAAGGTTCCTTATCACGGTCACTGATAGGGATGGCCCTATACAGGAGGCATCGACTATTCTGCTTGCGAAGTTTGAATGAGGACCTGATCTTTGAATCAGAACCAAGAGCCCGTAAGAAATGCAGTAGTAGTAGTAATGGTGGTACTAGTAATTGAACTGTAACGGCTGAATGTAGCGTGGAGTGAAAGTACCACTGCCACAGAATTGTAACATAAAACAAGGCATTTGGGCAAAATATGCAGGGAATACCCCTTCTGCCAAGATCGCAAAATACAACTCCCCTGTCAAAATTCCCCATCCGATTCCCCTCCTGGTACAACAGTCTTCTTTCCCAACTTCCCATTACTTTTCCGGAAAATTTTTGCATTTTTTTTCTCAAACTGCGGTCGAGCAGGGGGAGGTTCGATAGTGCACTTCGCACTTGAAACAGGAAAAACCACGATATATCAACAAACGGATTTTTTTTCCGAAAGGCAAATGCAACACTCCTTCCAGGGGTTCCATTTGCAAGAACTATGGACAGCGTAAAACGATAAAGCGTTTTTTCATAGCTTTTGATTTTCTTTTGAACCTTAAGACACGTAGACAGACCGGTACATACCGCTGTATCGGAGCTTCATCCGGGTGTAGAGTTAGGCCTTTCAGCGCTGATGTTTTCACTCCAAAAACTGCGATGTTTACTCAATTATTCATTTACTTATTTATTTATTCATTTGTTTATTTATTCGATGGACGCGTTGTTGTGCCAGTGTAACACTTAAGCTCAACCGCAAGTGGGATGAGACGCTCGAGGGGGAAGTTTCATTGGCCTGCTGCAAAACAAATGGAATTGTTGCGACTGAAATTACCGAAAATATCGATCGTTTGCGCGGGAAATTTTGTATTTTTTTTCTTGTCGAGCGGGCAGAGAATGGGAAATAAAGCAATTATTTTCTGCTTTACGATTTTTGAGATATACCAGACCTTGTCGCTTTTCGCGTGCTTGCTAGTGATCGATAGTTGTAAGGACTTCTCCTTTCTGGAGAGAACCTGAAGTTTTTTGTATTGAAAACCGTTTTCAATTTTCTTGGGCGATATCACTACAACTAAAGTGGTCATTACCTTTGTCTAAAGCACCCCTTCCAATGATAATGTACAGTGAAGTCAGATCACTCCCTGCCGCTTGCGGTGACTTTTGAGAAATACGACCCCTTTCCTCTGGTACAAACCTTCCTGCTCCATTCCTACCATTTCCTGACTTTTCCCTACTTCCTACCACCTTTTGCCTCTCCTCTTCCCAAGGTTATAAGTAGCGCGCATGGAAGAGGAAAATAAACAATCGCGAAATTGCGAAAAAGTTCTGTCCAGTTACGACCTCCCTCCCTGCGCCAACCAAATAAGCCCCCCCCCCCTCCCGGCTGAGGATTTCCCAACGTGCGGCGTGTCCTGGCTAAAATAGACGTGATTAATGAAGGTCATCAACTTGGTGATCTTGGCCATTGATGCAAGCTCGCCGCGCATCTAATCAAGGGGCGAGCTCGGGCTCAGGAGATTGTTTTCTGTGTTCCCAACTAACAAGATTCTCCTATAGTCGGGTCTTGACACGTAGCCACGCTACTTCTTGTCATTGGTGAATGTATTGGATTAGTGTGCTCAGCTGGAAC